GTCTAGTGAACTCCTTCCTCTTCACCACCAAAGCCTTGCTTAAATATTATCTCATTTGAGAAATCGTCCCCAGTGCTCTCTATATTGCTAACTACTCCTTTCTCCTGGTTTAGACAGAATTTATTTATATCCCTATTATCTCACTTCACACGTGATAAATCAGTTCACCCATCTGTCTCCTTGCAAGATGGTGAGCTCCTTGAGAATACGTTTGTTTCTATTTTCAGCACCTTGAACAGTATAGGGCACATATGAGCTTCATGATGGAAGTAAATAAAGTCACTATAGTATAACAGTTTCCCAGAATTCAATTTTTGTATTTCTAAACTGTTAGTGATAACCTGCCAACAGCTTGAGAATTTTATGCTCTCTCCCTAAAACTTGCATCCATTACTGAGCAGCAGTGGTCATAGTAAACTCAGTTGTGACTTACCCTCTAGCCAAGCCCATTCATTTTTTTCCTTAGGTGATTTTGGTCTGTTTATATCTCTATGCCTTTGCACCTGCTGGTCCCTGCTGGTCATAAAGTTTTATTCATCTGGAAAACATTTCTACTCATCCTTTAAGAATCAGTTTAAACAATACCTTCTTTGGGAAGCCTTAACATCCTCCCATTCTTTCAGGAAAAGTGGAGAATTCCTCAAGTCAGACATTTGTGCATCTATTACTATGTAAGATGAAGATGAAGATGTGGACCCCACATTCATGGAGTTGACAGTCTAGTAAGGAAGACAGCCATATGAACAAATAACCACACTATAATAAAATTAAATGCAATACCAAAAGGAAGATTTATGTGTTTACTTTGTTAGGTTATTAGATATTATCAATGATCATGTTAGACAGGTATTTAAACCGGACAGAAGTCTACAAAGCTCTAAGGACTGCTATATTCTCAATTGTCTTCTGAAGAAACTATCTCCAACAGGTTCTTTTTATATATGCTGAGGTCTGTACAACTGCTAATACATGAAACCACCCTACTTCTTGGGCCACAAGCAACTGGACTAGCACTCAGAACCCTAACTAAGGACAATCTACAGGTTGAACCTGAGAGAGAGATCACCTAGGACATGACTTGACTCAATATTCTGCCCAATAGGGGTCCTCTATCTTAGGTGACAAACCAATCCAATCAGATTCTCTCTTGGGAAATACAATGTTGGGTGGACAAAGTAAAGGAAGGAAGGTCTCCAGAGCTCAAATCCTATTCTAAATATTGCTCAGTTATTGTTTTTTAAAGCTTTGAAAGCAGTAGGGCCAAGGAACAATATGGCTGCTGAGATGACTTCCCATTTAAATTTACATTAAACCCTCATCATCAAAGGTGACATGTGGGGGCGCCTGGGTGGCTCAGTCAGTTAAGCATTCTACTACTGAATCCCAAAGCAGGCTCCATGTTGTAAGTGCAAAGCCCAATGTGGGGCTCGAACTCACGAACCGTGAAATCTTGATGTTAGCTGAAGTTGAGTCAAATGCTCAAAAATAAATAAATAAACATTTTTAAAAAAGATAATATGTGTGTGCCTCTTCCTTTTAACTGACAAGGGCCTAACACATCATATCACCACTTCAGAAATTAGGAAACAGGCTTAAGAGTTCTATAATCTGACGAAAGTCACTCAGTTGGTAGTTGGCAGAGCCAGAAATCAAAGTTCAAATCAGCCTGCTTCTTCTAGAAAATCCTGCCAGTTATACAGGCAAATGGCCTCAAAATCAACTAATGACAAGTACAAGTTGACACAGGTTAATGGAGAGAGCCTTAAGGCTTTTTTTTTTTAATGTTTATTTTTTTTTTTGAGAGAGAGACAGTGTGAGCAGGGCTTGAACTCACGAATGGACACTCCATGGACTGAGCCACCCAGGTGCCCCTATGGGAAAAAGAAATGTTCTGGAAGTCAATATGCTAGGGGATATGAAGTGGGAGGGGGAACACCAACTTTTACTTTGGTCAAGTTAGTTTATCATTCCAATCTGGACCTCTCCCCTGGGCTATTAGCTGTCTGTCTCTTTTACTCAAATATAGTATCAGTAAGGGCAAGAGCTTCATTTCTTTGTTCACCAGAGTATAAAACAAGCCTAGCTTATAGTAAGTGCTTGATAAATATTTGTTGAATAAATAAATGAACAAATTATCTGAGAAACTAAAGGAACATTCTACAGTGGACTACAAGAAGAGTTATCATGAAATAGACTCCAGAGGTCATTTACAAGTGCAGTTGATCCTCATTTTTTACGGATCCTGTATTTTCGAATTGTACCACTTGCTAAAATTTCTTTGTAACCATGAAATCAATATTCACAGTGCTTTCTCAGCCATCCACAGACATGCGCAAAGTGCAAAAGTTTTGAGTCAGCCCTCAAACCCACTCCCAGCTAAGGCCAACCAAGGGAGTGCTCTGCATTTGTGCTTCCTCTGTCTTGTTGCAGAGATGACTAAAGGACATAGATGGTAGGGGGCAGTGCGGTGTAGTGCGAGCAGCTCTGGCTCCCAGGCCAATCAGAGAGGGTTTGAATCCTAACTCTGGCACCTGTTAGAGGGTGGCCTCAGGCAAGTTACTTAACATTTCTGAGCTTCATTTCCTCTCTTGTAAAATAAAGAAAATATAGTTTAACTGGATGAACTGTATTTAGGATTTAAGGTTATAGTCCACGTAAGATGTGTATATGTCCACAATTCTCCTAGCAGTGGTTCAGTATTTGCCAATTTAGTGGTCTAGGTGACTTTATACACCAAAATCCCTGCAAATAATGAGAATCAAAGGCATTTATTTATAACGAAATAACCGAAAGATACAGAAAACAATTATTTGGATGGAGTGCAGGCCAGTGTCAGGCTTCAAGAGATTCTGAAATACAACCTCACTAGGCATATGAGGTGTGGAAAATGCTTTAAAGGAGAGAGAACAGCACCTACAGAGAGAGACCCGAGTGTGTAAGATAAACAGGTAGGATTAGGAAATGGCACTTCAGAAAGTCTAGAGCCGGTGTTGAGGCCAGAACATGGGGTCACAGTGCTCCTCTGTGTCCTACATATACCCTACACTGTGGAACCTCTCCTCCACATTTAATTCTTCGGTTACAGGTGTCTCATTAAACTGTGAGCTCTTTAAAGACAAGATCTCTAGGAAGAAATCATAGTTATAATCTTTTAAAGTTGCAAATGAGTAATTACTAAGCACAAATACACCTGAAAAGACTGTAAAAAATAACTTTGGTTTTCAGTCACAGCCTTATACCAACATATAATAGTGACCAACTCATAAATCTGCAGTTTTTCTAGGACTTTTCTTTGATGACTGCTAATAATTCTGTAATTAGTACTTTTTATTGTTCTCGATAACTGGGCATTTGTTAGAATAGCTATAGATCTTCCTCTTTTTCATGTGATTTGTTAACAGGGCTCAACCATATGGTCTATGAGACAACGCAGTGCTGTCTCCTCAGAGTGAAGATTCCCTTTAATTCACTCTACGACTTATTTCCCTATATACAAGGTACAATCTTATTTACAAATAAGGAAAACAGTAAGAATTTTTTACAAAAATTTGCAAAACACAGTGTACATATTAAACTAACTGCTTCACCTCTGTGAAGAGGTGAAGAAAAATAATTATAAGAATTATAATTCCAATTTATGTGAAGACTCTCTCATACACACACAGCCTTAGAGGCCCATCACATTTATTCTAATACTTTAATTTCCTCAAGACAAAGCCTTTACTGTCCAATATCTGAATTAATATTTTCAAAACTCTAAAGTGACATGTTACTTTTTCCCCATAAATTTCTTGGCATAATTTTATTTAGGCACAGCATAGTTTGCCCTATTATCTAGAAACATATGGTTAGAACCATATATCATTAAAATACAAACTGATATACTATAAATGTAAATACATATTCTCTGCGAGTGTGGAATAGAGTATACTGTTTTTAAACAGATTCAATACCATATTATCCAGTCTGGGTGTGATCAAATCCCATTGAGTTACACAGCTAAAAACATGTTGTATATTTTATGATAAAAGAGGGTGGACAGGCCCTTACACTGCAAACTCTCTGCCACTCCAGTTAAGCTATTTAAAGTATAATGCAAACTGCCTACTTAAAATAATAATACATTAAATTTCTTGTGGCCAGTGAACTCTTCTCACCTGCATTTCCAGAAACTATTATCAGAACAACTGTATTGGGACAAAGATTCCCAAGAGGATATCCAGAGAGGATGATCAAATGCGATTTTAAGGAAGGCAAGAACAGTTTACCATTAACAAAACCGATTAAAGTTCCCAATCTTGCAAAGCTCCCTGTACTATGTATTCTGCCTCTCTTGCATTCACCTTCCAGCTGCTTGGAAGGAGCAAGTGGAAAATGTTAGTTTCCATGAGAGATGTGGATGAAATTTAGGTGGTGGAAGGGGTAAAGGCTCACTCGCAGAACGGAAGGCAGGAGACAAGTGGCCAAGGTTCCTAACTCAAATTAGGTGTCAAGAAGGGAAGCTGGAGTAAAGCGGGAGGTGGAGGGAGTGGAAGAAACCCAGATAACGCACCCGGGCCCGCGAATGGGGGAGGGGTGAAAATGTGCAACTCCTCCCCGAACCCGCCTGGGGAGGGAATCGGGGGATGCAGCACTGGTCACTTTCCCTTGAGGTGTTGCGCTAGGGTACTGAGGGAACTCGCTTCAGTCCGGAAGAGGCTAAGGGGGCTCAGGGAAGTTGAGGGTCTGGGGAGGAATAGCGCGCCTATGCGGGGAGAAAGGGACTAAGGACCCCCTAACGACCGCAAGGGGCAGAGAGTAACCCTCGCGGTTGGCCCTTCTTGCGGATGGCCGCGACGTAGGGCCCGCGGGCTTACCCTCCCCACAGGAGCTCGGACCGGCGCGCGTCGCCCCTCACAGACCGGACGGCTGCGGAAAGGGAGGCGCAGGGCGCCCCCAGAGCCAGGAGAACGGCGCTTCCCGCGGGTCCCCTCCCCGGCAGCCCGGGTGCCCGAGCCCACCTGGGCTGACCAGAAGCCCTTCCTCCTGACCGTACTCCGCCACTCCTCCGAGAGCCTCAGCCGTAGCCGCAGAGGTAGCCGTCGCCAGAACAGTCTTGGCCTCCAGTACCAAAGCGTGAGCCACAGCACGGGAAAAGCGCCGCTGCCACTCGCCAGGTTATCTCTTACAGCACACTGGCTATTTACTCCGCCCCCGAACACAAGCCATTGGTTGCTGGGCACCGCCCCATTCGCCTATTGGACCGAAGACGATGCCGCTCAGTCTCATAGAAGGGCATGTGTGGTGCTTATTGGTCTAAATGTGAAGCAGTTCCCGCCCACTCCCTCAGAAATTCCAGCTTCCGATTGGTATGAACATCTGTCTTTTCGCTCCCTTCGTTCTTTCTCTCAGGGTGGAGCGCCTCCTTTCGGGAGACACCGGCTCTGATTGGCTGAAAGGAAGCTACGTTAGTCCTGGATAGGCAATGAGCCAAGGATGAGTCCGGCCCCCACGTGGGGGAGGAGCCCAAGGCTCAGCCCCGTTGGGTTTGTTTACACAGACTCTTGCTCGCGCTTCTTTCTATTGGCTGAGCCAGCGGACCCTCCCCCCGGGTTGCGCCATTCAATTTAGCAAGGAGGGGCATGGGGCGGGCCTCAGTGGGATTTCCCCAACTGTTCTTTACCAAGGGAGGAGCTTTGAGCTAGGCTGCAGAGAAGCTGGCGCTGCGCTTCACCAGCGGGAAGCCGCGGCGTTGGGCTCCTCGGAGGGGCTGGAAGGAAGCAAAGGGACTCTCACATTTCTAGAAACAAAACTAACTTCTGGACTGCATTTTTAAAAATAAAACCTTTTACCCCGCTTAAATTTAGGGCGTCCCATTTTTGCTTGCTAAGGACTTATACATCCTTGTCTCTCCCCACCCCTCATGCTAAGTATATACATAACACAAAGTAGAGGCTTAGTGATTACACAATGAATGCATAAATGATAAAAATGAAAAGGATAGTTAAATAAAGTCAGATTAAATAGCATAATAGTTAAATATGTTAAATATATACTTAATATAAATAATATGATAAAGTTAATATATAAATAAATTAATTCAACAAATATTATTGAGCATATGCTATAGTGTTTCAGGCTCTGATCTAGGCTATGGGTATATGATATGAATAGGACAATGAAAATGCAGCCATGGCGCTTATTCTCTAGTGGAGGAGATTGATAATAAATAAGTAGCCAATGAATAATAGAATGCCATGTTGTGATTAAGTGATACAAAGAAAAGTAAAGCAAAGGTTAAAGAATGGTTGAAGAAATTGCTATTTTAGGTAGAATCGTCAGTTTAAGAGCTGTTTGAGGAAACAGCACTTCAGGGGGATGTGAAAGAGTGGGATAGAGGCTGGAAAGCAGGGCGGCTGCACTGCACAACACTAGTCATACTGCTTCATGTATTTCCAACTTGTGTTTTTAGGTATAGATAATTTTAGGATTATCTACTCTGGTTGAAATTTGATCTAGTTAAATAATGTAAGTGGATCCTACAAGAAATATTTACCTTCTTCAGGAAAAAAATCCAACTCCAGAATAACTTCCCCACCTTCCATTGCTTCTTTTCCTAAGGTGACCCTGGGGTGTTTGGTGAGAGTGGTGCTTACATGACCTCAAAGCTTTGAAAAATAGAGACCTCAGGTTCATATGGTGTTCTTGCATAAACAGAAATACTCTTCAAGGATGAAGATATACTACAGGATAGCAATGGAATATGGGGAAGTGTTGGTGGGCTCCTGTTGTTTCCCTCCCTACCATTGCTCATAACTTTACGACTGGGTATTACCAAAAATAAAGAGAAAATCTTAAAAGTAGACAGAGAAAAAAGGTACTTTACATATAGAGGTGGGGAGGATAAGAATTACAGCAGACTCTGTATCAGAAATTATGGAGGCCAAAAGACAATGAAGAAGGGAGGTAGCCAGGTGGATATCTGATAATGGCAGAATAAATAGGCATCCAAAGTGAGAGAGAGTAGACAATAACCAATCATAATTATAGGGGATGGTGTTTGTTGGAGAGAGGAAAACAAAAGGAGCCCACCAGTCCTTCCTACACATTCTTTTTCAGTCATGGTGATAAATTTTCATCCTTGAAGAGTATCTCTTTTATTTTTATTGTTGTAAAATACACATAATATGAATTTTACTATTTTTATCCTTTTTAAGTATACAATTCATAAGTACATTCATTGTTCTGCAGACATCACCACTATCCATCTCCAGTGTTTTTGTCATCCCAAACTGAAATTCTGTAAATAATAACATCCTATCTCCCCTTCCGCTATCCCATTCTACTTTGTGTCTATGAATTTGACTATTATAGGTACCTCACATAAGCAGAATCATATAATATTTGTGCTTTTGTGTCTGGCTTATTTTATTAGGCATGATATCCTTAAGGTTCATCCATGTTGTAGCATATATCAGAATTTCATTCTCTTTTAAATCTAACTAGTATTCCATTGCATATACATAACATCTTTTGTTTATCCATTCATCCATCAATGAAATTTGACTTTCATGATTAATGCAGCTATGAACATTGGTGTATAACCAATAACAATTATAGTCCCTGCTTTCAAGTCTTTTGGATATATATCTAGAAGCAGAACTGTTGGATCATGTGGTAGTTCTACGTTTAATGTTTTGAGGAACTTCCATGTTTTCCACAGTAGCTGTTCTATTTTACCAACAGTACACAAGGATTCCAGTTTCTCCACATCCTCACCAACACTTGTTATTTTCTGCTTGGGTTGTTTATATATATATATACACACACACACATATACATATATATAATACCTGTTCTAATGAGTGTGAAGTGGTATCTTGCTGTGGTTTTGGTTTGCATTGTCATAATAACTGGTGATGTTGAGCATCTTTTCATATACTTTTCATATGTTTTTCTTTTCATATGCTTTTCAAATGTCTACACAAGTCCTTTGCACATTTTTTAATGAAGTTTTTTCTTTTTTGTTTTTGTTTTTGAGTGTTAGAAGTTCTGTATATATTCTGGATATTAATCCTTTATTAGATATATGATTTGTAAACATTTTCTTCTATTCTTTGGGTTGCTTTTTCTCTGTTGATAGTGTCCTTTGATGCTCAAAGAATATTTCCCATTGTGCCAGATCTGGATGACCAGTGGCTAGTTAAAAACCAGGAATCTACTATTAATCAGAAAGATGAGAATGTAGGGGCACTTGGCTGGCTCAGTCAGTAGAGCATGCGACTCTTGATCTCAAGGTTATAAGTTTGAGCCCCATGTTAAGTGTAGACATTACTTAAAGCTAAAATCTTAAAAAAAATTTTTTTTAATGTTTTATTTATTTCTGAGAGAGAGTGGAAGAGAGAGAGAGAGAGGCAGCATGAGCAGGGGAGGGTCAGAGAGAGAGGGAGACGCAGAATCTGAAGCAGGCTCCAGGCTCTGAGCCAGCTGTCAGCACAGAGCCCGACACGGGGCTTGAACCCACGAACCGTGAGATCATGACCTGAGCCAAAGTCAGATGCTTAACTGACACCCAGGAGCCCCAAAATCTCTATTTTTTTTTTTTAATTTTTTAATGTTTTATTTATTTCTAGGAGAGAGAGGGAGAGACAGCGTGAGCAGGGGAGGGTCAGAGAGAGAGGGAGTCACAGACTCTGAAACAGGCTCCAGGCTCCGAGCTGGCAGTCAGCACAGAGCCCGACGCGGGGCTCGAACCCACGAACCGCGGGATCATGACCTAAGCGAAAGTCGGACGCTCAACCGACTAAGCCACCCAGGCGCCCCTCTATTTTTTTTTTTAAAGGAGAATGGATATAAAGGCCACAGAAGAGCTGGAAGATAAAGTTGAAATGTCTCACAAAAGAAAACAAAAAGCAAATTTGATGGGAAATAGGAGACAACATGTGAGCAGAGAATCGAAGCAAGGAATGAATTAGAGGATACCAAAAATATGTGTCATAACTTAATTAACCCGAGTCCTTTAATTGAAAGAACTCAACAAGTGCCCCAAACTTTAAATTAGAAAGGTTCACACCAGTAAGAACATTTGTTAAATTTTTACTATGTGCCAGGTACTGCTTTACATTCTTAACATGTATTAACCCATTTAATCTTCAAAACAACAATATGAATACTGTTATTACCCCATTTTACAAACAGATAAACTGAAGTAGAAAAGGATTATGTAATATTCCCAAATCATTCAGCTAGTAAGTGGTGGAGCTACAATGTGGTCCCTCAGCAGCTGAGGAATGGATTTGGATGCCAGTACTGATAATACTACACATGTACCAAGAGGGCATTAAGAGATTTATTATGCATATGATGAGGACTTCCATGCTTTAGGCTCCCACGCAGAGCAGAATGAGTCCTGAGAGAGTGAGAAGGGGCAGCTGGCCTTGGCTTTAATCGTGGTTAGTGAGTAGTGCTGTGGTAAGGATTTCCATGTACAGACTGATGACTTGCATGGCTTGAACTCCTCAAAGGAGGAAGCACTTGGCTTACTGCTTTGCCTACATGTGGAGCAACAGTAGAAGAGGAGGGGTGGGGATCAAAAGCTCTCAGCAAATATAAGAAATGGAGACAGATTTTCTATTATAAGTCAAATTCAAGTCAAAGCATTTGCAAGAGCAAGGATAAGATGATCCTAAAGTTTTCCAGAGAGAAATAGGTCACACACCAAAAATTAGGAATTAAGAAAATCATACTTTCCATAGGTAACACAGGAGAATGGAGCCAATGGAGCAATACCTTAAAAATTTGAGTGAGATGATTTCTGACCTAGATGTCCTAGTTTGTTTGGGCTTCTATAACAAAATAGATCAGATGGCTTAAAAACAACACAAATCTATTGTTTGCAGCTCTGACGGTGAGAAGTCTAAGATCAAGGCACTGATAGCATGGAACCTTCTTAGGATTTTCTCTCCCTCTCTCTCTGCTCCTCCCTTGTTTATGCACACACATACACAAACACACACTCTCTCTCAAAATAAATACATAAACATTAAAAAATATTTTCAGACAATCAAGTTCTCAAGAAATTTACCCCTTAAGTATCCTTTATCAGGGGCTACCGGACGATGTGCACCATCAAAATTAGAAAGTAAATCAACCAAGAGGGGGACACAGGGATGCATGGGTGGCT